TTAGAGGTGGGGGTCTCATTTGTTACCCAGGCTGTCCTTGAACTCCTGGCCTCAAGTGATCCTCTTACCTTGGCCTCCCTTGTTGGGATTACAGGTATGAGCCACCAGGCCCACTCCTGAAGTGTTTTTTAGCTTTTTTCCCCTTCTTCCTAGATGAGACTAGAAGTTTGTAGAGGCTGGAGTTGGCTAATTTTCCTTTTCCCAAGTCAGATAAAGCTCTGACAAAGTCTTTTCCCTTGGGTCATCCTTCATTATGAAGAATTCTCTGGATACTTTTTAAATGATCACACCCCTCCCCACCCCCACCTGAAAGAGGAGGGGATTTTTTTCTGGATCAGCACTGTGAGAGTTGGGTAGAGTTCCTGGAGGTAAAACCCTTGAAAGTATCATGGCCTCCCTAAAACTGGGCCCCAGAAGGTTTTTCCTTTCAAGCTAGTGCAAATTATCCTTTAGTAATTTGTCAAAGTTACTGCTTAAGTGTTTCTACCAGTTTATGACTCCAGCAGCTTCTGCACGAAATAATTTGGTCTTGGGCGCAATTCTCTGAATGTGCCTTTTTCTTTAGTTTTCAGGGTGGCAATTTGCCCTGTCACTTCAGTTTTCTCAGGGATCTAAGAAAAGTTGATTTTTAGGTTGTTCAGCTTTTATTCTTGTTTTATTTTATTTTTATTTTTAATTTTTTTTAGACAGAGTCTCACTCTGTAGCCCTGGGTAGAGTGCCATGGTGTAGTAGCTCACAGCAATCTCAAACTCTTGGGCTCGAGAACTCCACTTGCCTCAGCCTCAGCTTTCCAGGTAGCTGAGACTATAGGCACCCACCATCATGTCTGGCTAATTTTCCTATTTTTTATTAGAGATAGGATCTCACTGTTGCTCAGGCTGGTCTCCAACTCCTGAGGTCAAGTGATCCTCTTGCCTAGGCCTCCCCCAGAGTGCTAGGATTATAGGCATGAGCCGCTTCACCTGGCCCCTTTTATTCTTGTTTTGAGGATGAGAGTGATGACTTCTAAGGTTTTTATATGTCAGAAGGGAAACTGGAAGTCAATAGTGGCTTTTTAAAAGGCAGTATATTTTTCTTTAACACTAACATAGCTAGTCCAAGGCAGATATGTCAATTCTGTGATCATCTGTGACCCAAGATGCTTTTATGGTCTTTCTGCTATCTTCAACATGTAGCTTTCCACTTGCATTTAGAAATGGTTTCTCCTTCTTCAGTCATCACATGGTATTCCAGCCATTCTGCAGGAAGTGTGAAGGGAGCAGGGAAGCAAGAGCACAATTCTTTTCATTAACACACTCTTTTTATTTAAGGACATGTCCTGGAAGTTGCTCAGACTTACTACCCTAAGTTTACATGGCTACCCCAACTTGGTATTATAGCTTGCTACTGCAGCAATTAGCAATCCCTACCACAATAGTGTTCCAGTACCTGTGACAGAAAATAGCTAAAGAAATTTTACTTTACAAAATTACAGCGTGTCAACATCCTGCTGGTGTTGCCACCAACATACCAGAATACACATATATTTAGTTAAACAGACTCCCATTCTGTTCACTCTTACGTCCTGAAGGTGTGTCATGGGTCAGACATGGGGCTGATAATGAGGCATTCCCAATCCCATATTGTAAGTGAGCCAGTCTCCAGCTAATTGCTGGGCACGGTTGTAGCATTACCTAGAGTCTCTATCATTTAAAAGAGTAGGCATACTATATTTTTTGTCTCATCTGGTTGCAGGAGCAGCAATGCATATGTGTGTAGGTGTGGTAGAAGGTGGTTAGTGGAAGATGAGGGGATAAAATGGTAGTTGGGTGCTGGGCCCAGTTCTGTATGACCTTTCTTCTCTGGCAGCTCGCCCAGTCGGCAGACTATTTCTGGAGCAACCCACAGAGAAAAAGAATGGCAGCAAACGTTTTGTGTGTAAGTCAAGTGGGTTCTACCCTGAAGCTATTAACATAACATGGGAAAAGTTGACCCCGAAGGCTCCTCATTACATAAAGATTTCTGAAGATGTTGTCACTAGTCCTGCCATCAAGAATGAGGATGGTACATTTAATGTCACTAGCTACTTGAACCTGCAGTCCTCCGTGGAAGACAATGGGACTGTCTATCAGTGTGTGATATGGCATACATCCTTGCCCACCCTCTTGAGGGTCAACATCACACAGATTGTGACAGGTAAGAGTCTCGGCATTTTCTCTGCTCTTCACCTTGAAGGGGTATACTCTAAGACTTTGGCTCCCACACGATCTAGAGCAGTGGTTCTCAATCTGTGGGTTGTGACCCACAGGAACTGTATTAAAGGGCCATGTCATTAGGAAGGTTGAGAACCACTGCTCTAGAGTCTTTGCTGGAGGCTGATTGGGAAGGAGAGAAATCTTGGAGTGGAGGGACTAAGCTGGGGTCTGGTCAAGCTCAGCTTGAGTCAACAGTCCAGACAAGGTCCCTGCACCAGGGCAGATAGGCTGGCAGGTGGAGAGTTGTGATAGCATTTGTCAGGTAAGAACAGGGCTACTTGTCAGCTCATAGCACCTTCAGCATTCTGGATGGTCTATATGACTTGAAGTATGAAGCTTGCCTGCTTCTAGGAGAATAGAGACAGGATCCCTCTCATGTGTCTTGAATATAAGGTGCTGTCAGGGGACAGGGACCAGCCCTATCAGCAGCTCTTCTGCTCAGGCTGCAGGTCCACTATAAACTATTGGTTTATGAAGGCTGAATCTTATGGCTGTTTCTTAAGATAGGGAGGCTATCTTGGAAATGCCTATGGCTTTCCACAGCCACCCTCAGTCCTTAGGAAAATACAACTATTGTAGACCCCCTCCTATTAGTGGGGTGTATATTTCTGAGCTCATATCCTGGCTTTCTGATCAGGCTGTCATCTTGGGTGGGGATGATGCTCCTGGTCAAAGTTCATGGAGCTGAGTGGAGGAAGGAAGGCCTAGACTAACTAGGGGCCTTAGGGAATGTGGTCATGGTGTGCCTGCTGGGACCTGGGGTAGTCCTGGAGAGAGAGAATACTTGTTCTTGGAAGTAAAGATGAGGAAAAAGGGGAGGGGGAATGTATTCAGGGATACCACTACGGTATGCTAGGCATGGGGAGTGTGAAATCAAATGTGGTTTGTGTGTGTGGTATGAAGGGTTTGTGTGTGGGATGTCCATAGGTGATCGTAGAAGGTGTGGGTGGTACATGTATATAATATACAGTGTTCAGTCTTCCATATTTCTGGCAAGAGTTTATAGTGGTTGAAGTATGGGGGTGTATGTGATAAGAATGGAGATGCTGAGACATGTGCACGGCCGAGGGATGGTGGTTAGGTCTCTAACAAGGAAAATGACACACAACCACACAGATCCTAACAGCAGTTGTGTGGTGTCTCTGGCCCTTGCCAGTAGGTTTCCTCTTAATGTTCTCTTTCTCTTTCTTTTTGCAGGCTCTGAGAAGACAAATGCCTTATGGATTTTACTCGCCTTTTGTGGACCGATTTTATTAATTGTAATTATTGGTTATTTGGTTAAAAGGTGGTGCGCTAACTGGTTAGGGCGCTGGCCACATGCACCGGGGCTGAAGGGTTCAAACCCAGCCAGGGCCTGCTAAACAACGACAACTGCAACAAAAAAATAGCCAGGCACTGTGGCGGGTGCCTGTAGTCCCAGCTACTGGGAGGCTGAGGCAAGTCAATTGCTTAAGCCCAAGAGTTTGAGGTTGCTGTGAGCTGTGACACCGCAGCACTCATACTGAGGGCGACATAGTGAGACTGTGTCTCAAAAAAAAAAAAAGAAGGGTAAGGTGCTCCAAAGCAAAGTTCAGCCCTGAGTCTTGGAGTTGGCTCCAGGAGTTTGGGGTTCACAGCCATTGGATGGTGTTGGGGAGCTGTCAGGAATGATGATGAGGTTCTGTGAGTGTGGTGTGTGGCTTTTTCTGATGTTGTGTTGGGGAAAAACTTTGCCATCTGATCTCCATATAGTGGTTTAGTGGTTTGTGACTCTGGGGAGATGTATTGTAAAGTGTGTTTCTCCATTCTTTTTTTTTGAGACAGAGCCTCAAGCTGTTGCCCTTGGTAGAGTCCTGTGGCATCACAGCTCACAGCAACCTCCCATTCCTGGGCTCAAGCGAGTCTCCTGCCTCTGCCTCCCAAGTAGCTGGGACCACAGGCGCCTGCCACAACGCCCGGCTATTTTTTGGTTGCAGCCATCAT